GCGCGAAGGTAGCTATGCGCTGTAGGAGCTGATAAAGTACTGCGGTATTGTCAGTCTGGTGAGCGAGGGTGTGAAGAGTGCAACGTACTGTCAGGACCGACTCGTCATCGCCATTATCGTTGGGTAGGTAAACATAGAGGATAAGTGCATGCTCATGACAGAAGCCTTGAGAATGTCAGCATGTTGGCAGATTTGAAGTTCGTACGACTTACAAGCGATAACTCGTCCCCCCAGCCTACCCACACTCATGACCTTACCCCAGTCACGCCCATCGATCCTCACTGTAGCCCAGCCTTCTTCACTACGCCCGTCCGCCGTGCCCAGCTGCTTCATACGCGTGCTTGGGTGTTCAGCTACGCCATCTTCTCCACCAGCGACGTGGCCAGGGTCAAGTTCTGGATTGCTAAGATCGGTCCAGATGGAGGATATGTTCATGGCGTCGGATCGGATCCTCATCCTGAGGCAGCCGTGCATGTTGGCGGCCACCTCTAGCCGTGTCCTTGATGCCGTCGTCGCGGTGCTTGCCTTGGTGTCTGCCAGCGCGAGCTTGGTGAACCTGTCGCTGATGCTCTTCAGCTGCATCAGAGGAGGCAGTATGATGTGTACGTCTGGCTCTCTACAGACGGGCTCATGCAGGTGCGCTACAGTGTCTGGCGCAAGCACTCGCACAGGTATCTCCTGCGTGACGATGGTCTCGCGGTTTCCTCCACCAAATTCGTTGTCAAAGGCAGCGTCGAAGCCATCGTCGTTGTTGGCTGTGGCTGCAGGGAAGGCGCTGTACGTGTTCGAGGAGGTCGTGGTGACGATGGTGAGGGCAAGCATGGGCAGGTTGTCCTTCTTGGTGAGGCGTATCTGGGCCGACGTGGCATTGAGGGCCGACTTGAGGGCGCGGTTCAGCGACGTGAGCGGAACTTCGAGGTTGATGACGTTGTTCGCTGCTGACTGCACGCTGATGGTCTCGAAGATGGAGTCCTGCGCGGCGCATTAACATCGAGCCAGTCACAGATGAGACGGTATGCTTACAATAGAGAGGACACTGCATGCGGTTAGAACGAGAGACACCGAGGTATGAGGCGCCTACTCACGCCCATACTTGAGTGCCCTGCTCTGGGATGATGGTGAAGCATACTTGCTCCTCGCTGAGCTTCACCCACGCGAGCGGGCCGAGCGAATTGAGCGACGCCGTAAGCTCTACAAGGGGTTAGTCGCAGAATGAAGTGTCGGCTTATGCACCTACTCGTAAAGGTATTAATGTTCTGTATCGACGCCTTGAAGCGCATCTTGCCGGTGTTGTCGCACGATGCAGTTGGGAAGTCGCGACGCGTCGAGAAATGTGGAGGGGAGGCCAAGCAAACGTCATCGCCTGCGCGTTACTCACCACATCATCACCAGTGGCCTTCACCAACTCTCCCGGTCATCGTCGCGCATTCAATCTGTCTTATTGCACGCGTTTTTCATATATAAGATTTCGACGAAACAGCGAAATAGCCCAAGCTTATCTATTCTCGATTAACTACGACGAGGCAGCGACTTCCCAAATCGTGTTCCGAACATGAGCAACACTATCGCAACCTTCTTTCTACGCCTGTCTCTGCACAGAAATACCAGTGTTCGATACTGTTGTCTTCGAGTACATCTAACCAGATATTAGTAGGGTCGGGTGGTACGCCATGTACAACTAACCTGTCCACTCGTTCCTTGTATCTCATATCGACCTGCGCCGGAGAGCGGGACATCCACGCCGCTCTTAGTAGTTGCCGAAACTGCAGTAAACGATACTGTTCCGAAATTCGGTGTAGCTACAAGCTGGCCTGGGATCACCTGGTATGCCTGCACGAACCAGTTTGCCGCCAGCGCAGTCAGAGAGGACGGATCCACGCCATTCGGGGCCGCGAGTGTTTGTGTTGTCCTCTTGTTCTGCGTCTTGTTCTCAATCGTCACAGTACCCCCTGCAGTAGCCACGCTGACTGTCACGGTGATTGAATTACCGTTGGCAACAGGAACCGTCGAAGTGGTATCTGTCACCGGACCGGGGAAGTATGCAGAGAAGCTTCTGAGCGTACTGTTGTACACGATGCCACCACCGAGTACGTTCTCCTGTTCAAGTGTGTCCCCTATGCCGACCCAGATCGAGAGTCGGTTGCTACCCGATAAGTTCGGTACTGTGAACTGTATATGCAGTTAGTACTCATATCACATGCGGCACGAGAGTCACTCACAGTGCCTGTTACGCTGGCAAACGAGTCGCCTTGAGGCGCTTTGAGTACTGCACCCCCACGATTCAAGTCGAAGGCGGCAGATGCAGCTGACACCCAGCACGCGAGAATAGTACTGGTTTTCATGGTTGACTTCGATCTAACCAGTAAAGAGAAGAAATGCCGTGCGACAAGACGTCCAATGAGAAGAGATGCAAAAGCTTCCGGGTTTGAAGAGCGGAAGTGGTTGACGTTCCAGAAGGATATTTGAGATTCTGGAGTCTATACCTGACAGCACCACATGGACTATATTGCTTCCATGGGATCGTACCCGGTTGATAAGGGCTCGTTCCTTGCGATCAGATCCCACTCTCTTCAACAGCCTATTCTCTCGGCCCACTGTACGCTTCAACAATCCGATCAGCACGTGACTACAACCCTTTGGCCTCCGTCGCTACCCAGCTGGGCACCTTATGATCGGCCAATGACAAGCGCGAAATTCTTTTGTACCATGCCAATGCATCCGTACGAATGGCACGCGTTGATGAGGAACGGGGGTTGGACAATATAAACAAATGGTAAGGATTGGTACCCCACAGCTTGGCGCGACGGCAAAGTAGAATAGATTGAGGCTCACGCAACCTTGTCTCAACGTCCGCGAATATCATCCTATCCGAGAAGCGGATCATCCACTTACAGTTCTTTGGTAACCGAAGTTCTCGTTGTACAGGTGGGGCGTTGTACGTTCCGCCGCTCATGTGCATGCAACTGCCGACGGCATGACAAGACCTCCAATACTTGTGGAATATCGAAGAGTAGCATCACTGGACTCATTCGGGCTCGAGGAACACCTTTGCCAATCACAGCGGTGCTGTTGGCGACCTAATACGTTCAGCTCAGCATGATCATGAGATGGTAAACTGGCCAAGCCGACGATTAAGTATTTGCAACTCGATCAGCAGCACTATGGATGACATGAGCGCCCGATACGATAGGTCATGTGAACGTAAGTGGATGAAGAGCGTGCGACATCGTAATCCAGGAGCGTTGATGTGGAGGCTACCCACTCATGCGACGACATCGTGCATCCACATTCATCTTTCGAGTCCCAAAGCGCATTAGCTTCCATCCGGCGCAAGATGCTGCCCATCGCTATCTTGACCAAGACCGAGATTTGCCTTTGCGACACGGCATACCCGCTCGGCATTACCACCCTTGATCCCGGCGGTGTTGCGTGCATATTTCACACTGTTGTATAAAATAGTGAGCAAGCATACCTCTTACCGCCTCCATCTTCTTCTTTCAAGCAGGACATCACCAGCCTTGTAAAATGAAAGTTTTCAGTGCTACCGCCCTTGCACTAGTTGCACCCGCAACGGCGCTTCTGCGCTTCCCATGCGCTCAGTTAGTCATCGACAGGCTAGACCCTCTGGTCACACCAGGCCAGGCTCCCTCGCCGCATTTGCATCAAATTCTTGGAGGTAACTCCTTCAACGTCACCATGGATCCCGAGAAAGACATGCCAGGAGAGTCAACATGCACATCATGCCAGTTCAGCGAGGACTTCTCCGTATGTCGAACCAACCACCTGTTGATTGAACAATTTCGCTGATAAATATGTAGAACTACTGGACAGCCGTTCTATACTTCAAAGCCAGAAACGGTACATACAAGCGCGTTCCCCAGATCCCCAATTCTGGGTTCAACGGCGTGAACGGGGGCATGACAGTGTATTACATGCAAGACGGCCTCTACAACTTCCAGCAAACCTCCAAGGTCCAGGCTTTCCAACCCGGCTTCCGCATGTTCATCGGCGACGTCAACGCGCGCACCAAAGACGAAGCAGAACGCTTCCGTCAGCTAACATTTACTTGCTTGGACACCATCAACACGCGTGACCCGCAGACACTCGACTTTCCCACTCAGCCGTGTAAGACGGGTATCATGACTGCTGTTCGCTTTCCCACGTACGTCTTCTCCTTCCCTCTCTTCTTATGAATGCAGCATATCAGTCTACTAACATGCCCTAGCTGCTGGGATGGTGTCAACTTGGACTCTCCAGACCACATGGCACACATGTCCTACCCAGAATACGGGTCTTTCGAATCTGGCGGCCCCTGCCCCGCCAGCCACCCCGTGCGTATGGGCCAGCTCTTCTACGAAGTCATCTGGGATACAAGCAAGTTCAACAACAAGGCTGATTGGCCTGAAGATGGCAGTCAACCGTTTGTCTGGAGTTTCGGCGATGGGTGAGTCAAGGACTCTTATACTAGCTGGTGTGATTGCTAATGAATTTTGGCAGTACGGGCTACGCAAACCATGGCGATTACCTCTTCGGCTGGCAAGGCGACGCACTTCAACGCGCTCTCGACTCGCCTTGCTACCAGAACTGTCCCACGCTCAAGACGCAGGATGCTGCCGCGATGAACAAATGCACTGTTCCGCGTGTTGTCAAGGAGGAGATTGATGCGTGGGTGAGCGAGCTACCTGGCGGCCACCAAGCACAGTATGTCAAGAAGCGATGGGCAGAGTAGAAGTGTACTCATTCGTAGTATGGACTCAAGATTGATTCAGGTTGAGATAAAGAAATTATGACTATGGACTCTGGTAGCTACTGAGTAGGTAATGCTAAGTGAGATGCATCTTTGCATCTCATCTTGCTAGTAATACATGAGATGTTCTGAAGAGAAACTTTCTAATGATGGTATATGACTCCGGCCGAAATATGGCACTGCGGTTTGCGACGAAATGTTGTGTGCAAGGAAAGACCGCTGTTAAGAAAGGAAATGTTGCGCTGTTGCGCTGTTATCCGCGCGCGAGCCATTCGCGGGATCGAATGCGCGGTAGGGGTTTGTGGAGACTGCATTTAGCTGTCCCACGTATGCGGATCACGGTGATCTCGCTCGAGTCTGCTTCGCTTTGTAGTGCGGATTCACCTGCAGCGCCGTTCCGCACCCGTGGTGCTGGGCATGTGCATAGGACTCCAGCACTGTCAACGGCGTCTTCATCGTCTTCCAGGTATATTGTGGGCGCGACGGAACTTCCTCCGTCTTCGCTTTTTTCTTCAAAGAGACCGATCTCCTTGTCCCAAATCTCGTTACTACTTTGCCTCTTCAATCCTAGGCTCTTCACAATCTCTTCGAGCTCCGACGCACTGATCCTGGCTCTTCCGCTCATCGCTTTTTCGAAATCGGCATCGGAGTCTTTGGGTGGAGAGTATGTAAAGTCGCTGAGTTGTGACCAGTCGCTCACTCTACGGGTGCTGACTGTAGATACGGAGAAGCGCGAAGATGGTCCTGGTTTTGTGACCCTACGGGGGCTGGATCGGGTTGAGGGTGCTTCGATGTCGAAGTCAAGGTTGGATTCGTCGTCGTGAAAGCGTGTTAGGCTGTTGTTATTATGGCCGTGAGAGGGGAAGTATGCTGTGTCAGGGCGGTAGATGACTGTTTGGCCAGAATAGCGGGAGTTATACGAGTTGTAGGAGTCATCCATTTCCGGTTCGTAAGACTCGGAGTAGCTGGGAACGAGATCGTCGACATCGCCGTGAATGAGGTGAACAGTGCTGCCGGCGACGGGGCCAGAGATGGCAGCCACACGCGGGGCTTTGCGAGGTGTATCGAGGGGATCGCGGATCGCTCTACCAAGAGGCACCAAAGTACTGAGGTTGACGGCTATCATGGCAGCTAGGAATTCGATCATGCCCCAGGTAGTGAAATTCAAGTCGAAGTTGTTGCGATGGCCAACGTGACCCCAAGAGGTGTAGACCGTTCGGGTTCTGATAATGGCCACAGCGCATACACTGCAGATGTGTTAGCGGCCAATACTTCAGGGGCACCTTTGCGAACTATGAGAACATACAAGAGACCCAATAATAGAACTGCGAGGATGTGTAGCTTGGCTCCAAGATTGGAAGGAGTACCGACGGCGATGGGTAAAACAACGACGACCATCAGCACGTTGGACGCTGTGTTGATCGCTAGACGAATGGGTCAGATCTGTTTGTTGGAGGCAAGAGTGTTGTACTTACAGTAATTCGCCATGGCCCAAATCTCGGACTCGCTTTGCGACATACATAATGCCGTATTATCGAGCGAGAGATCCCAAGCCGCCACGAGCGGTACACACTGAGCAAGAAGCGATGTGAACCATTCAATTGTGTGCCAGAATACGAGTACTAGGTGTGTCAGCTTTTGCTCCTGAAAGCTAGGTTGATTTAGACATACGGATGAGGCAGATGAGAAGGAAGGTGCGTCCCATCTGTAGATACGACTGGCGTCTAGCACTTGTAAGAGGCAAAAGAGTGAAAGCAGCCGACAGCTTCACGAGACCAAGCCCAAAGATGATGAATGAGTTCAACGCCCACATCCACGGGCCCATTTGGACGGTCTTGCTGGCGGGTAAGACATAGTCGTCTTGCTGCTGTCCCAGACCGAGCTCTACGACTCCAGTGAATGCGATAAAGATTCCTATTGTGCATAGCTATTCTGTGTCAGCGGATATGAGCCATGTCATTAAACTGCACTGAGCTTACAGCGGCCAGAACCATTAGTCCATCATCGATGCCGAAGGAGCGAAGGAGCTTTCCACGAGTGAAGGCTCTGAGCGAGTAAACCAATAGTGCGGTCAAGACCAGCGTAACGACAATGGCAAGATGAAGGGGCCCCTTGTCGTGGACTAGCCAGGGCAGCGGAGTTTCTGTTGTTGGGACTGCGCTGGCATCGACACCCATTGCGTGAGCTGACGGTAGCAGTGTCCTGTTTGCTCCGTGTATTCATGCAGAGTTGTCGACCAGGCGAAGGTGAGGTGATTGAAACGATTGAATGTCTGATGAGAAGTACACGGGTGAAACGACTGTATGGCAGGAAGAAAGGACTGTGGTCGAGAGGAATAGAGGGGCACGGGATGTTTAGAGGAGAGCGTCTTGTACGACGAATTGGACATGGCGTTTCAGCCCGGGGTACCACCGCAGACACAGGCGCGTGGTTCACGGCTCCTCGCCGACGTCGCTATAGAGATAGCAAAGCTGCGCATGCACAGTGGGGAGCCAATCGAGTTGTCATAGTCTGCAAGGTACGCGAGCGGGGTGTTTTGTTTTCCCGTTGCGCCTTTGGATTAGTCCTCCACTGCAGGGCTTTTAGTGCCTTCCATGGTACAGCCCAGTCGCTCTAGTATTGCTATCGGGCGCCTGGGGACGGGATTATCAGGTACCGCTTCGGAAGGCTCCAGGACGCGACTGCTTTTCTCAAGGTTGACCCTCTTTGCCAGGGGCCAGTCTAGGGCTCTGGAGGGTCTTCCTCAGGGTCAATACGGTGGGCGTCCCCTCCCGCATACCAGCGCACGCTACCAAGTTCGCACCGAGCATAGCAGGTAACACATGAGTCCTCTGAAGACGAGATCTCGTTCCGATGGGAGATTGCATCATCGTGAGAGAGTAGATGCGCCTCTGTCTCCACACCATGCAGCCCGAAACAGCAGTAGTGAAGATTGTGGCTTGGAATCGAAGCAGTAGCAATGCAGCATTGCAGGACAGCCCCAAAAGAACAAACAGAAAAAACGAACTTCGAAGTCTAATGCCCTCCCAGGATGTATTTGTGAGATGGGTTCGTGTGGATGGGTGGAGAATGGCGCATTCTCTCCTGCATGCGACTGGTGGATCGCCGCGTTGCTTTTGCTCGTGATCTTCAGATTGACGAACGGGTATTGCGAATTCCAGCGCCACAACGATATGCGAGATGCAGGAGACCTTGCAAGCACGAGGTACCATCGATGGAAGGTCTGAGACGGGCTGGACTGCGGAGGTCGCACTGAGCCACGCGAGGAGGCGCATTACAACACCGATGTCTCCAACGGGATAGACTCGTGGCTCACTGGCTACCTAGGTATCGGCGGTGCATCTCACTTCAGATCTGGTGGACATGATGAAACGCGATCCTAGAAAAAGCATTGATGCGTTGGTGTGCGATGGGTTCATAGAGTTGAGGGGGTAGGAGGTGGTCAGAATGGTAGCGAAGGTGTCGCTCCAGTGGCATCGAGGATGGTGGCTTACGCTTTGTTAGGAGCTGGCGGCGGGGAAGGAAATCTCCACGAGCCGGCCTTGGCACGCTAACTCGACCCAACAACTGGCGTAGACAAGCGTCGCCCTGAAGCTATCCATCATTTCTACACTGGCGCATGCGCACAGCACAGCGTCTGCCGCAACCCGACCCAAATGTCTCCTCCCGGTCCCGCAGACCATCAACACACAGTCCCGTCAACCCCTCCGAGGGGCCTCGAGCGCTGCGACTAGTTACAGACGAGGATCACTGAGCCTTTCGAGAGACGCATCAAACTCCCATCTACCGCACAGGCGCTCGATCTTCGCCCTACACCCAAAAAGCCCTCGAGGGGGTTCTATTTCGATGCGAAAAGGTCTCGATGGTGTGACTGTGGAGAAACACGCTGGTTGCACGAAGCCCGGAAGTCAGTCGCCGCAATACAGAGCCGGAGCGATGTGCACGCTGTCTGGTCAAAATCATATAGACCGGTTGTTTGTATGAGCTTCGGTGAAGCATTTGACGGGCTAAGGCTAATGTTTTTCTTCGCACTTGTCCATTGTTCCTTAGTCTACTGAACATCAGCCTTTCATCTCAGTACCCTGCGACGACTACTGCGATTGCGACTACCGTTGCCACCTGTCCAGCTATCACCCAAGACCTGCGCGCACCAGTGCTCTCCAGGAGATCCCATGGCTCTTCTTCTTCGGGTTCTCGGCTACCCTCAGCCACGTGGTCGGGTGTGACGCATACGACGTGTGTCTCTGTCGTGCCGTCGGCAAGGTAAGCCGCGAACACGGATGGTACAGGCCGCTTGACGGAAACGTCATACGATTCGAAGCTGCCGGCGTCACGGTCCCGTTGATCGTATTTAATTGAATAAGTATCCATGAGCCTTGTGTGGTATCGCTCAGGAACACGTTCTCCTGGTGGCGGTCTATCATCACATGTCTCGTTCGAGAAGCCGAGAACTGGGGCTGCGTTGTTTCATTAGCAATCAGCGCTATCAGAAGGAAAGATGCAAACACTCACTCTTCACAATCAACGGGGCCAGTATTTCGCTGGGACAAGCATCTCTAATCCGATCGCTGTCGATGTCCTCACATTCCATGTCGTCCATGGAGACCCCAGAAGTCACAGATGGAAAAGATATTTCGCGCAATACATCCATGCACTCAGCACTCAGCACACCTTCGCAACCGTTCTCGCCTGGTCCCGTCGCTGAAGCATTGATGGCTTTGAACCGATGGAAGCAACCCATAGTTACGCTTGTCAACTCTGGATGGCTGATATAAGCAGTAGTCGAACTGTAACTAAACCCCCGGCGGTCGTTCACGGCGAGCGATATATACCAGTCTTCCTTGGATGTCATCTGAAACCCGGTCTGACCAGAGGAGTTGTACGTAGGCGTTGTAATAGGACACCATGGTGTGTTATCGTTGAGCTGGGCGAAACAGGACTGTAAGAGAGTGATTACTATGAGTAAATAGGCGGGTAGGAAATCTGAAGTAGCCATCGTATTTGGCTAGGTCGTAGCTGCGGAAAAGAACGTATCAAAGTAAGCAACGTGATCATACTATATAGAGGACATGTTAGCCATGATATACTCCGGAGTAGTTGGCTATGCTGCATAAGAGCCATCGTTGCCCGCCTAAAGTGGTCAGGACTAGGTTGATTGGAAGCAGTATACCTGGCAGCGACTACTGCGCCGTACCCCATGTTCATTGTTTATCTTACACTAGAAGCGAACAGGCAGAGATCCGTGGTTGAAGAATAAGGCAAGCAACACGCCGCGCCGGATGACTGCCGGCTTGGCGCAGTTGCCCTGAAGACCTGCGGATAAGAGACAGAAAGCGCTTGAACATGTTATCATGGTGGTGGCAGTGCTAGAGTATGGGGTTTAATGACGTCGATTTTGTGGATTCGGTGTGACTGGAGTCGCATACAAATCTACCTCAACGGGTAACGCGCGCGACTGAGAGGCTCAATTCCACTACATACCAAGCCCTTGGAGCTGTTGGATATTCAGATACCACAACATGGATACGACCGCTCTTCTTGCCCCAAATGGATAGCCTGTTAGGTACCTTACGACAGCGAAAAGCACTGAGTGCACATACGTTCCGCAGAGACCTAAGCGCGCTCCTGCTATCGAAAGCCAGTGCGAGTTGCACAACGCGGGCAGCTTGATTCCAATAGTGCCCGGTGCCATCGATAGGATTCAACTAGTCGCTCTCCCCGCCTTACAGAATTGGCACGGTCGCATCTCGCTCGCACGGTGTCTGAGAGGTTAGACAGATTTACTTTGAAGACGTGAAATGTCGGTAAGAGTATGGATCTCGACGCGCCGCTTCACGCATTTCCTCAAAAGTATGAATGAAGCGTCGTAAACGCGAACGTTCTTGAAGAATGGTGAGAAGCCTGGAAGAACTGCAGACATGAAGCGAAAATTGATACTACAACACCTCGCTACCTCCGCGTTGGATTCCTCACGATAAGCCTCTCATTCGATTGGCATGCCGACGAGAGGGCGAAGAGATGCCCAGAGTTTGTTCATGGGACTAAACAGAATGGTTACCATACCACGGTAATGTTTTAGAATCATTTATGGCCCACGTCGAAGATACTTCGCCTTGCTGGATCAGAGTCTGGAGCTCGGTCGATTCCGGCGTAGTCGTAGGTACCAGCTCTAACAATTGGACCGACATGGGGTTCATCGAGGAACACAAAAGGCATCCGAAGCATCTTGACAAATCTGTAGATGCTAACTAAACCACGCAGGTAGAGACAGTTGCAGATGTGCTCAGGTAATGAAAATGGTGTTCCTGACAGGGTCGGTCGACATGCCCCACCATCTAATCCCCTCACTAGAGAAAAGTTTGCCGCGACACTGCCCCACCAAACCACTTCTTGCATACCAACAAACTTCAAGGCTCGCTATCGGCCACCGGATGTCTTTATATACGATTACCAAGAACGTCCTTCCATCATTACTAAGCAACAACTGGCCTAATGGCCCAATGGCAAGGCGCTTGACTACGACTCCGTTCGATATCAAGAGATTCCAGGTTGTAAGTAGCTCTCAGAAGCCTCCTATTCGAATCGCAAAGCTGACACCCCCGCTGCGACCCCTGGTTAGGTCACGTTCACAGCTCCAGCTATCTTAGCATCCATCTTTTCGCATCGGTGGTTTAGTGGTAAAATTAGCCGTTGCCATCCTTCACAGGACAGTTTCGGCTAGCCCCGGGTTCGATTCCCGGCCGATGCATTCTTTTTGGCGTTCTAGACGTCGTTGCGGTGTTGTGGTGGTGGTGGGAGACGACGGTTGTCGAGTTGGGGGAGACGGAACTTTTTTGAGGTTTGGCGGAACACGAACACTAAACCCATAAGACAACAACAACATCTGCGCAGGAGTCAGAACGCACTTCCAAGTCCTCTATCTTGCTGCGCAACGAGCGTGCTGCAAATAAGTTTTCCTTTGGCTGTCTTATGTTCTGCCTCACGACCTCGCATGTCTTGTCGTGAGCTCTCGAGCCATGAAGTAAGTTCTGGTTACTCACTGCGATGGTTACTATGAACCCATTCATGTCATCTCTGTGCATCGTGGTATACTTTTACAAAATGTACCAGCCACTCTTTGCGAAGTCACTATCTTAACCTCACTGCGCACAACACCATCGCGCCTGCAACGACAAGTGCTTTGCGAACTTACTTCAATTGCAGACGATGTCGAAGTGTCGCCTTTGTTCGGAGTGCATGGAAGTTCTATCATTCCTAGCCTGCGCTGTTCACAGAGCGATCCATGGATTGATAAAGAAGGTAAGAGAGACCTGCGTACACTGCTCCTGCAATCACTCTGCGAGCAATCGGGAAGTCTCAGACATCCTCAACAATCGCAGTCAGCCACTTCTCACTTCCTATATCGTCCAAGCCTTACGATTACCCACCTGAGTCAGTACCGCAACCACAGGCAATCACTCAAGAACTGCGCCGAACCATCATGAATCCCAAAAAGAACCTCCCATACCGCGAGCCAGCAACAGCGAAAGAGACAAACCAAGTGAGCGACATCCATCTGCACACTTGCACCATTCCAGCGACTAACCTTGTCAGACGCTGCAAGACTTGGGCTTCACAAACCCGCTAAGAGCAGTTAGCAACATCTCCAAAGATGACGGCGAAATCATATCACCCAAAACACCAACTGACGCCAATATCGGCCACGCGAAAGGTTTCGGGGAAAGCATCGCCGAGGCGATGTCAACCGCCATGCAGCTGCCCATGGCAACTGCCAACTACCAGTTGAAGCAGGAAGTCAAGCGCTCGGCATCCAGCGAGCTCCTGAAGATCGACGATCTCAACATCTACCAAAGCGCATGCGCTGCGTATAAGTTGGGATTGGAAAGAGGTTGGAGCAAAGAGAGACTACTGGAGTCTGTTGAGGAGTGGAAGGTGTTTGAGGCAAACTCGAGGCGCAAGTGAGACGGGCGCTTGGTAGACATGGCTTGCGAGGCGCTTGAGGAGGGTCTGTTAGATTTGGGTGATTACAATCACTGTAAACCTTGAGCACGCCGATGACAATGGCAGTAAAAGTTTGGCTTATTGGGACTTCGTATGGACAACACATTGGTACTATGCTATCACACTTTGATTGGGAAGTTGAGATATGACTAGAACTTTCATGCCTGTCTTCTGTATGCACTTGGAAGCTACGACTAGAAGCTCAATCGTATAGCCTGTCTGCTACAAGCGTTCAATGATCGGTAGACCGTAGCTCAACCGCATAACCAGCTTCTCTTCAACGCATCATTGTTTCCGGTGTCGAAGGCGGCTGATGTCCAATAGTAGAGTAGATTTACTACCAGCCGCCATACGTGGTCGAAATCTTCCATCCTACTGCATCGCCTATCGCCGCTGACCAAAGTATCGATAAGTCATCCTCATAGTGTACAGGAGCTGTCCCTCGGTACTTGAAGTGCATCTTGACCATCTCTCTAGCCACATCCATGACACCAGCCAAATGCTCATCCTTGATGAGTAATCCGTACTTGTGATTGTAGCACTCGCCGATAAACATTAGAGTCTCGTTGATCTTTTCTCTGATGTCGGAGTCGAAGATCTGCTCGTTATCGTACAAGTGCTCGGTGACATTCCATAGCTTGTCGACGAACTTGAAAGCTTCGACACTGTCTGTTACCTGATCGAGGGTGTCGGCCGCTCTGCGCTCTCCAGAGACGAACTCAGGCTGCCGAGGAAGCTCGAAGAGGACGGCATCTTCATGGATTGGACAGGTGTTGTCATCTTTTAGATGACGAAGCAGACAGTCCTCGCAATAGATCCCGTGACAGTCATGTAACTCGGTCTGTATGCGGATAGGTACGTTAGGTACTATGATCAATGTATCAGCGATCGGACAGCAGAATTAAGGTTGTTCACGGTCTTTACCTGTGACGATATCGTCGCAAATGAAGCACTTCATGTTCCTCTTGGTGCCTAGTCTGAGGAAAGTCTGTCGGTCCTCAAATGGCGCGCTCATGTCTGGTTGTGGATGTGAGCTTCGATGGTGACGAGTAACAGGTCAGTAATAGGCAGACGTTGTTCGTGCTCCGAATGTCTTGGCAAACGTGCTCTCACCGACGGGGAAGGCGCGGTATCGATTTCAAAGTGAACGTGAAGTTGGCCCAATGCGGTAAGAGCGCGCAGATGGCTTTGCGCAGCGCCGAATTGCTAAGAAGCGGCGGGAACCGTATAGGACACTATCGTGAGGCTTCGATACAGAAAGAGAATGGTAATGGTAATGCCGCATGTACGACTACAGTTATCGGCGTCTTCGACTCGCCAATAAAAAAGAGTACTCGGCTTTGGTACAGAGCGCACAAAGCAGGTGATAGAGCTGACCCAAAGCTTCCTAAACATTTTACTCCGTCGAATCCGCCATCGACATATCATCGCCGTCATCTTCAACATCTAACGCCTCATCATCTGATGGTTCATCACCTAACACCTCATGTTCCGATTCTTCGTCTTCAATCTGCCATTCCAACACGCTCTCGACGTTGTACAAGTAAAACCTAAGCTGCATTCCTATGAGCGGAACATAGCTTCCATTCCTATAGTGTTCTTGCACCATCCTCTGAGCTTGTTCCCTGATTCCAGGCCAATGGTCACTGAATATATAGAAACCAGGAACCATCCTAGCGTTGATATGCTCTTCAATGTCAGAGTCGTAAATGACCTGATCTCGTTCGTAGAGCCTGTACATGGCACGCCACATGTTCTTGACGAATGTCTTGGCCGGGTGCCAGGTCTGGATCTGGTGGGCCATTGTGTAATGTGGGCCTACTATGTCTCGTACTCCTTCGACAAATTCGGGCTTGTCGATTTTAGAGAATAGTTGTTCTCTGCAGATGGGACAGGTGTTGTGGTTGTCCTGGTCGGATTCGATCCATTGGGTCAGGCATTCTATTCCAAATGTGTGTTGGCAATTCGTTGTCTTGATGGATGCTGCTTGATGTTCCGTATCAAATGGCTCTGTACAGATAGCGCAATTGTCGTGGACGACGAGGTTGTCCCTGAGAAAGTCGCGGCGCGAAGGTAAGTTTGTGTTTCGCGGTGTCATGGTCTCGCCCTTTGGTGATACACTATCGTTGGGAGCGGATGTAGTGCGATGGAAGTTTTGTGGATTGAGAACAAAACACCAGCCGACTTATAGACGGCAGTGGCGACTGAAGCATAAATGTTGAATAAACGCGGGGGACACTAAGCCGGATGAACGTTGGTGTGGCACTAGTAGTGGCTTTGTACCTAGGTACATTGACCGGATTACCACCGCTCCTTCGTTCAACTGACGTCCACATGACAGGGACGACATCATGAAAAGCATGGCAGCTGCTAGTTCAAAAAGCTGAAGCTCCAGTGAACGAGGGTTTCAGCGGCGACGGTCATCTTCCCATAGACGGTTTGGCGGCAAAGAGAAGACAGTCTTCAGCTCCCTATGCTCAAGAGCGTCGATAGAAGGGCGCGATGGATGTAACAGCGAAGAGCCTTTCCTAGCCGGCATAGCAGGTCGAAGAGTCGGAAAGTCGACTGACGCATCCCACCCATGTGTCCCTCTGAACACGGGGGCAGCATGGACAGGAGTGATATCAGCCACAGGCTTGACATCCGGCGATGATGGATGCAACAGTGTCGATTGCTTTCGCGGCTTGCGTCTGTCTCCATGACTACGAGGTGATATTGATCTGGCGCCGGTAGTCATTGCGCTGCTTCTCCTTCGCACAGACGTGACACCACGCTCTGACTCAAGCCATATCGTATCCTTGAACGGAGCGATTATAGAGTCGATCGAAGCCCGTCGTAGGAACTCTTGCTTGAGATTCGGATTCCAGCTCGATCTGCGCTTCAACGATGTGCGATGACGCACATGGCCACGTTTGCGTTCCGCGAGGTGTCTCGTTGGCTCTTTTGGTGGTACTGTCGTTTTGGGCGACAGTGGTGGAGAGGGAGGATACGCATCGAGATTGGGTTCTTCATCTTCTTTGTTGAATGTCGCGCCCTGGAAGTACGAGGCTTCGGTGTCTTGCTCGTGGCGGGTAGGTGTTATGGATGGGCTACCTTCTCCGCGCTTCGCTATTCCTCCTCTCCGTCCATTCGGCCTGGACCAGCTAAGTTCTCGGGAAAGGGTCTGATAAACGAGGTCGCCGTTTTGCATTTTGAAAACTGTAGTGTTTTCTGTTGTAAAGATAGGCTGCGCCTGATAAGATTAGGTAGACAAAGCGTCGAGTGATTGCGCCAAAGATATTTACGTCTTCAGTGTCTGGTGTAAAGTATGCGTTTGGGGCTGACAAGTACAGGGAGTCCAAGAAGGCGGTGCAGAGGCGGTGACTCGAGTTTTCTATATAATGACATGGTTGGAGCACGGATGTTGTTGTGAAGCGCGGGCTTTCGCCCATGGTTGGTGCACTGTATGTACAACCGTTGGTACAGTCAATTACCGACACGCACGCACTCCAAACTTTGAATACCGAAGAACAAAAACTTATCCGACTGAGAGGCCGACCTTTTTCGTTAAAACGGCTTTAGTAGGATTAATTGTATCTCTTATCCGGTTCATAGGGGCAGCGAAGCCTTCAAAGCTTGCTTGTGTTGCCTGGATGGTATATTTACTCGCGCGCGGGTACGTCAACCGAGTCAAACCCATGGTCGGGGCATGACGTTGCTTCTGTAGGGCTGACCGGTTGGTAGACCCTGCTTGCAATATTGACGCCCTGTGCGGGTCTGGAACGGACCGATAAATGCGCCCGATCATTGTGCCCTGCATGTTTTGTTCTTCCAGCGGTTCTCGTGGTGTCAGTCTCTGTAAATGAAGCGTTCAAAATACATCCATCTCCTGGGTGACACGCTTCCCAAACCAGTCGACCAGTTCGTCGCCGCCGCCTTCATTCTTGCCGCTGAAGAAGTCTGTCATACGCATGTCGTTGCCGTCATCTTCAGCAGGCCAGTCAATGGCGACATCCGCTTTTTTCCCTTCCAGTAGCTCTTTCGCAGTCCCCCACGAAAAGCGCGTCTCGCTACCCCAACCAAAGAAAGGGTCCATATTCTGCTTCAGCCAGGTGGTTGTCCGCGCGTCCGATGGGTACCCAGAGCCCCAAGCCACCTTGACTTCGGCATCTTCGTTCGCCGCTGTGTTGCGCTTCTGGTAGGGTTCGTAACAGACATCTAGGGCTGCGTCTCGGGTGACTTTAGCGCATACCGATGCTGCACTGACCACGGGGTATAGGCTGTCGGCCTTCTTCGCGACTGTGATCCGTATCGTAGGCCAAATCCTCTCTAGCTTCTTCTGATAGATTTCTGGTCTGCCAATTGTGTCGATGTAGATCTCCTTGACGTTGACGCCTTGTGCCAGCACTCCTTTGATCAGATCAATTGTCGCGTCCATGGCCTGCGCATTGAGATTGTATACATTCGGAGACAACATGTGCGCTGAGATGTCTTGCGCTGACATTACGCGTGTTGCCCATCCACCAGCTTCGTAGAGATCTGAGCCCTGGGTGCACAGTTTGCGCATCAGGTTCGAGCGGACTTCGGGAGTCAGGACTTTGGAATCGTCAAAGTGGTGCGTTTCGGCGAGGAGCGAATGATGGAGTTCAATTGGTAGGTAAAACAGGGCGTACACCATCGGGCCTGTATGTGTTAATGACGGACAAGGCTTTCACAGGGGGACCAGTACCTAAGACAGGGCCTCGTCCAGCCTCATCGACACCTAGCACGACTTCTCCAGACATGTCGTCTGCGATCTGCTTGGGTATGGGTGAGAAGTGCGAATATGACTTCCCGCCAAGAATGCCTGATTTGGATATCGAAGGTGCCATGAAGACATCTGAAGGTGGTGTTTCCAGCTCAATGTCTTGGGTGTCCATCTGAACATCTTCTTGTGGTTCTGCCATGTCTTCCGTCGTTTGTCTTAGCGGCTGAGATGGTATGGGCAATGTTGTGTGTCGTTGTAGTAAAGTGGTCGATTGAGTGAGACGCGACGCGTTCCTCGGCGCTTTCGACGCGACTCACCGATACGCTAGCGATGTGAATGGCACCGGCACACCTGCACCACGGCAAAGCCCACACACACCTTATGCGTAGGGCACGGCACAGTGCATGCAGTTTTCTACGCTTTTCCCCCAAACCTACTGTAAAGGGTTGGTTCGCACCGGCAAGTCATGTTCGTACCACCACACAAAGCGTTTCGCTGCATGAGTGCCGCCGAGGCCAGCACATTTCTTCCCGGGGCCGCATGCAGTGTGTGATGGGTGTGGTACTTCCTAGCACAACACGCTAAAGTTGCGAATTCTCGCACACAGGATTCCATTAAACTTATTTCACGGTATTGTAGATCGTCTTGCTCACGCCGCTTCTGAGACTCTCTTGTACCCAATTCGGCAATCCCCTCAGCATGCTGACCTTGCCCGCAGCGCTTGGTAAGATGATCTGGCCACCGCTGCAGCTCATGATTTGTCCGACAATTGCATCGGCAACAGCAGTCGGCTCAAGAATGGGAGAACCTCGCCTCTTGAGTTCCTGCTCCACAGGTTCTATCAAAGGTGTACGGACCCAATTAGGGTGTATGGAAGTCGTGAGAACGCTTGGGCTGTTGTAGTGGTGCTTGAGTTCCTGGGTGAGCGCTAAATTGGGTCAGCATACTGCAGCTAAGAGATGGGACAAGGAACATACTTTCGTGGAAGCTTAAAATAGCCGCCTTCGTCGCCGTATAATCTGCCAGGCCAGCGACACCGATGAAGCTTGCCGTGCTTGCGATCGTCACGATATGGCCCTTGTTGTGTCGGAGCATGTCTGGCAGGAAAGCTTTGGTGGTGTACCAGTTGCTGAGGACGTTTACATCGAAGATCTTTCGGAGGTACGCGTCGGACGTAGTGAGGATGGTGTGGGATGCCAGAAGCCCTGCATTATTGATGAGGATGGTAGGTGCCCCCATCGTTTCTTTGACCTTCTCGGCGACTGAGTAGACTTCAGAGGAGTCGGTGATGTCACACTTGAAGAACTTGAGGCCGGCGTCTGTCGTCTTCGTTAGTACCAGGCAGCTCAGCGTAGTGAGTATTCATGTGTCTTACATCCTTGCAAACTTGGAGGAAGTTGCTGAATGTCTAGCACTGCCACTCTGATTCCTTTATTGATCAATCTCTTCACTACCAGCTCTCCAATACCACTGCAGCCTCCTGTAATGACTGCGACCTCTCGGCTCCAGTTCCATCTCGCCTTTTCACTTCGCAATCTGCCTGCGTTCAGGGCAACATGGTTAAGCTGCTTGTTGACGACTCTTGCTGTTCCAGCTATCAGGCACCACTTCAAAGCCTTCACGAGCTGTGCATAGCGAAACGGGTCCCGAAGTGCGCGGATCCGAGTTGTAAGTTGGCTGCGAAGTTGTGTAGGTCCTTTCGTCAATACCCAGAGTAGAGCGGCCGTGACTAGAGGGTTGAGCGTGATATGGCCAGCGGTTGTTCCAGCGATATTGAAAACGTGTTGCAGTAACTTCGACATATCTACGTTTGCATCCAAGGTATGGAAGTCAGAGTGCGCAACCTGAGCATTCCATCGGATATGTCACTTAAGCATGATCTCCAGGTCTATATAGCGTGCTGCGGGTCCGTTCGCGTCGAAAGAGGGGACCATACGACGCCAAAAGTGTCTAGTTGAGCGGGCTTGGAGCGGATGATGTCGCAGCCTCGGCTTCGCATTCCCTTCTGCTTGTGCAACTAGACACTGTAAGAAAGTTTCGTTCGAAAAGAGGAGTATCCAGTAAGCTCTAGGGAAAAGATTGCAATACTGTTTACTTGTAGGCAGCCTTACAGGGCACTTGCATGAAAGTGTACAAGTGCTTCAGCGTGTAGGCATGCGTACCAGCAGAGCCACCAAGATTGCTAAACCAAAATGCGCGTTTACTATCTGTGGTAGAACATGACGTGCCTCGCAAAATCATTTCTTTTTCTTCATTGCAACCTGGATCATCCTTCGAAGAACGCAGCCACTTCGGTGACAATGCACACCCCGTTGTGCAGTCACTGGCACCCTGCATCAGTCTCCGAGGCTATTCTGCAGGAATGCTGTGGAGGGTGGCAAATAGGAACGGCAGGCGCAGCCGTGCATTGCTTCTCGGGTGCAGAGGTCCGATGGCGTGGCTGCCGGATTGGTCGATGGCACACGTGTTGCTGCTTCCTGCTTCGACAAACTTTATGAGGAAGTCGCAAGTAACAGCCTGCCAACCAGCCATGAATTGCGCTCGATGCCTCTGGATGCGTTACTTCCTCTGGCCATGTTACATAGAGGAGCACCGCTTTGGCCTGCTTTTAGCCGGTTCCACGGAGCCCACCCTGATTCCTCTGCTGATTGGCGGATGCAAGGTACGTGCGGGGAAATGCCTGGTTCTCTATTCTGAAACGAGAGCGGTCAGGCCCATCTAACCGCATCGGCTGCATGGGAGAACGAGGCGCCTCATTTATAAAGATCGCCATTGTCGCAAAGAGATGGGCATTTGGTGAGATGCAAGGCCAGGAAATCGAACAAGTGTCGGTCGATGTCGCCTACTGACAGATAAACCAACCTTTCGGTAGCAGAAAACTGTCAGAGACTCACTCAGTCCTCCTGCACGACATGTCTACCAGAATGGCGCGGCACGCGTAGCGGCATACGTCGGTGTTTGAGACGATCGATGCCCCGCCAGTCCTTCGGCCGTGGAAGCTACACTGCCCCTCCTAGTACTTATTGCGGTACTACTAGATGCTGCAACCCTGACTGGCTGGGGGACTCTTGGGCGAAGAGCTGCCGGATGACGTGAGGGCATTGCGCACCGCCCGCCGGCATCTCCATCCCACTCCAGGGGCCTGGAACGCGCTGTAGAGAAGCATTCAGAACCACGTTTGCCGCGCATATCGAGTTAGAGTGGGCCGCGTTGGATAGCGGAAGGCTGTGACAGCTGCGTCAAAGGCTGGGACGACACACAGAAGGTGGGTTGCCAGATTCGATTAGCACCGCGTTCCGAAGCCATGACTACAACGTATGTTTAATCCTGGGATGCGATGCGCGTTTGCGTGCTAGATAGTCTCTACAGTAGCTGCGCATGTACAGTAGACAGCTGCGGGAGAACAGGAGGGTCCAAAACCTCAATTGGGCAGAGTACGCGACCAGCAGATGGGCAATATGTGCGGAATCCCACCCAGCACTAGTTGAGCGCCACATCGTCCCCTGATCAGTGATGGACCCTGAGCTTTCGAGTCCAACGCTCCACTCCCGCTCCATCTATAGACTTGCTCTTTCGGCGCCCGAAGTTGAACTGTTGGCCAACCCTTCCAGACTTGCTCCGACTGTCCTTACCCACGACTCGTGCTGTGCATAGGCCATCGAGTGCGCGCTGCTGCGACCCGCACCACATCGACTTCCGTTCCTACCTACGTACCGAGCCTCCAACCACGCTTCCGTCCCGACTCTGTACGACCACGAACAGCGAGCAGCGAGGGCAGCAAGGGCATTTGCCCCGTGTACGAATTATCTGTATGTAAATGCGCCTTCCGTGTCTCCAGCGAAGCGGTCGCGGCTGCCATGTGAACTTCACACCGCCCGCCAATCCCCCACACCAGCTCCCAGGGCAGTCGCGCTGACGTGACGGCAGTGTATTTCTAGTATTCTAGCCAGTATGGCCTACCAAGGCATGGGAGGAGGCAACGGCCTCAGATCCCCGCGCGAAGAGCAGTCGTTCCTTTCCCTGAATCGCGCCGCTCAGAACGGCGATGGCCGCGCGACCCTGCAGCGCCGCTTCACGACCAACAACATTCCGACCATGAGCACGCCTCTGTCGCCAATCGGACAACAACGTAGACAAGCGGCAGAGCCGGCCGAGTTTACTACAGCGGTATGTGGGCACTCTCGTACACGTAAGAGGCGGATGTTCAGTGTTGGGGCTCCGCGGCGCTTTGCATGTCGGTACTCAGCAGCTACCGCAGCCATGTCGGATATACTTGGAACGACATAGTATGGCTGCGTTGGTAGAGCTGCTGTCCGTTAGCTATTATACATCCGCGGTGACCAAGAATTCGGGCTAACGACCAATCCCAACAGACGTACCACAAGCTCCAAGTTGTAAGTCTACTTCACTGCGTCTTTCTACGTCTCTCACTTGTCACCCCACAAATCCTACTGGAAGTAAGATTGCAGTCGTTGCCAAGGCTACCTGTCCAGGCGACGCCCATATTGACCAACAATTGTCTTTTGCCTTTGTCTCTCCTACACCACCACAAAAGTCCGCCTCTCCAAAAGCTAGCTTTGCTATCATTACTCCTGTACATTTCTCTGTCTCATTTGAGACTCTATTCCCTATCTATATCCTCATCTCTTCCCATCTGCATCGTCCTACGTCACGAGCGACGCTGTTGCCTCACGACAAACGCGCTCAAACACCCTCGCCGGTCCGTGTGACCAGCTAACAGCTTGCTAGCTTGAGAGAAAACGGATTGAACACGAGTATCTCAAAGAAGCGAAACGGCGATTCGACGCTGAGATGGAGCTCCTCAACTTGCAAGCCCAGCACGGCGAGAGTGACAACAACCGATTCTCGGCTGATGCTCACTACGGCGGACCTGCGCATAGCCAGCCCACTACCCCGCCCGAGTACAACGAGAGCAACGGGTTCCCGTCCGCTTTGTCGCGTCCGAACCGTTTCAGCATGTCCAGTATCAACCCGGGTATGACCACACGCGGTAGCCGTGCCAACTCCCAGGTCACTTCCCCTCCCGCCAACTTCCAGAGCAACGGCAACTTGCCTTCGCACTCGATGCCAGGATCCCGTCGCAACTCTGAGGAGGAGCACGACGACTTTGAGAACGACGACTTTACTCCTCTGAGTCCGGCCGCGCGCAAGTAAGTTGGCCCAGCACAACATCACCTCAAACACTGCTAACCCAAATAGGAACAACCGTATGTCCATGCCCGTTACTAGAATGGACTATGGCAACCGCGGAAATCTTCCAGATGTGGGCTCGCTTCTTGGTCATATTGATACTGCCGGCTTCTTGTTTGGTGATGACGCATCAGCTGCCACTCAAGATCAGAAGGCTTTCCTCCAGATGGGTAACACCAAGGACGACTTCCCAGTCTTGGTCCGCCGCGATGGTGCTGGTAATGGTACGAACCTCTCTGCCTCTTCCGCTGCACTTGATTTGGCCCTTTCACAGTCCCCTGGCCCGGATGCTCAGTCCACTGCTTGGAACGGACACCGTCATCGTCAGGCTCAACAGTCCCTTCCTGCTAACACTTTCCGTAAAGCTTCTCAGATGGACGACTATGAGTCCGGTCGATCCAACGGCGCCGAGACCACGCCCAAGAACAACCGTCGCTCGGTCGAGTTCAGCTTCAGCCCCAAGGCCAACGAGTCCAAGCGCTCCAGTTACGGCGGCCCGACCAACGGCATGCCCAAGTTGACTCAGTCGTACTCAACAAACGACGTGCCGACCCTGAAGAATGGAGCGAACGGCGCCAATAGTATCGGTTTCACGCACTCGCAGCAGTTCCACAACCACAACGCTAGCCTTGGTCGCATTCCATCAAATGTCCTGTCCAACCGTAACAGCCGCGACCTCTCACTCGGTAATCGCGAGTCTGAGTACCGTTCTTCGCAGTCAGGCTTGCACGCAAGCGCTGCACCTTTCGGTCCTGGTATGACTTCAGCTGCCAACGGCAACGGCGGAGTCTCGTCGACTGTCGGTTCACCAGCCATGTCACAGTACTCGAGTGTTTCCGCTGCCAACCCAGGATACTATGGATACGGTATGAACATGCTGAACGGTGCTTTGAATGGTCTCAACCTTGGAGGTGGGCCCGGTCCTCAGTACGGTGGACCCACTGCTTACGCTCCCACCAACATGTACGGTAACGGACCGTCGCAGTACAACCCATACGCTACCTATGGCCCAGGCGGTCGCGTACAGGACAGCCAGGCTCGCGTCATTCAGAGCCGTCGTCTGCAGAACGACGCCAACAAGTACATGAACTACGATCTGAAGACCATGCCCCGTCATGAGATCTACAGTCTGTGCAAGGATCAACATGGTTGTCGGTTCCTGCAGAAGAAGCTCGAGGAGCGCAACGCGGAGAACATCCAGATCATCTTTGATGAGACTGCCCCTCACGTCGTTGAACTCATGACTGATCCTTTCGGCAACTACCTCTGCCAGAAGTTGCTGGAGTACTGCAACGATGAGCAGCGCAACACTCTTGTCCGCAACGCTTCTCCTGCGATGGTTCAGATTGCGTTCAACCAGCACGGCACTCGCGCTTTGCAGAAGATGATCGAGTTCATCTCCACCGATGATCAGGTATACTATGACCCTCGGTATTATCCCGCTCCCGAGCTAATCCGTCCCCAGACTCAGATGATTATTCACGCATTGTCTGGACAGGTTGTCGATCTCATCCAGGATCTGAACGGCAACCACGTCATTCAGAAGTGCCTGAACCACCTCAAGTCTGTGGAGGCCCAGTTCATCTTCGATGCTGTAGGCGAGAA